TGGGGCCCGCGCCCCGGGAGAAGCCGAAGGCGGAGCTGCTGGGCGCGTGCGGGGGGCTCTGGAGGTGGCTACTCATCGGGGGCCGCGGCTCCGCCTCGTAGAAGTCGGCCGACTCCATCGGGCAGCTAGAGTTCTCCGGGCATGGCGAGCCTCGGCGGCCTCCAGCCTGCGCGGGGCGCCGCTGCTGCCGCCGCCCACCCGGAGTCCCTACTCGCTCGCGCCCGCGCAGCTTCGGGTCGCGAATGGCCAGGCCCGCGCGGGCCCCTCGCATTTATACCGGGCGGCCGTCGCCCCCTAGTGTCCAAGCCAGAGACGGCAGAGCGGCGCCTCCTGGGTCTTAGCGCCTGCCCGTCGGGAGGGGGCGGTGAGTGGGGCCGAAGCGCAGCGCGAGCACAGAGAGGCCCCGGAGCAACGCCCACTGCCTCCTGAGCTGCAAGCAGAACTCTGGCGGCCGAGCCGTGCCCCACCCCCGGCCGGGCTGTCGCCCCCGCGCACACGTGGTCTGTGGCTGGGACCCCCCCCTCCCCAAGGCACCCAGTTCCAGCCAACGGCCTGGGAGCCCGGGTGCATCCAGAGGCCGCGCAAAGGGTTGGTGGAGGGGCAGTCTTGGTCTTGAGCTACTGTGGCGCGGACTCGCTTACAAAGCTAGAACCAGGCTTGTCCCCGGCCCGCGTATCTGGAAGCCTGCTGCGCAGAGCTGCGGGGACGTGGGACGACGGACGGGTGGGTACCGTTTCTGACGCGCGGCCGGGGCACATCGCCATGTGGAGAGGACCGGAGCGCGGTGACTGCGTCCTCTATCTCCGATCTCCAGGCAATCCCACTGATGTCGCGCGGAAACACCTCTCCCTCGCTCTGCCTCTCGGAGTACGCCGGGGCTTAACCGACTCCTGAGCGCAGGGCGCTAGGACCCCGTGGGGAGCGGAGGCGGCTGTAGCCCGGGAGCCTGGAGGACCTGGCCGGTCGTTCCGCCCGGGCTGAGAAACTTTCTTTTTAATTACTTTTCCGGGCCAGAGCGGGAGGGTTGCTAGGCGCGCGGGGCTGGCTCAGAGCCGCCAATTTTTTCTTGCGGTACATGCGGGCGGGTCCCCGGGACCGGCCGAGCTAGACCCCCGGGAGAGCGCGGGTTGCGGGGGCGCACAGATGGAGCAGGGAAATGTGACTTCGGGATGGGGGTCCCGAGGCGGGGCCCGCAGTCAACGAGGCCCGGAGCCAGTGCCTTCTCCCTCTACACCCCATTCAGGTGAGAGCCAACGACGGGAGCGCGGGTGTCGAGGAACCCCCCGGGAGAACTCTGCCGGGTGGTTCGCAGGGCGCCGGGTCCCCGGGATCCCAGGATCAGAGGTGTCAAGACCCAAGTGTCCCTTGAGTGCCGCGCCGCCTCCACGCTCACCGCCGCGGGCGTAAGGAGCTTGCCACAGAGCGTTTCCCCAGCCACGTGGCGGCCCTTGCATTCTCTAGCGGGATCGCGGCGGCTGGGTGGGGGGCAGCTGGGCGCAGATGGGGCCTCGTGGGCCCGCAAGTCTCTCTTGCCTCTACCCCCGCCGCTCCTCGCGACTTTTCGCGCTACGACTAGACGCCTCCTGGGTGCGGGCTGAAGGTGCGCCTACCTGAGAATCGCCCTGCTGCGCAGGTCAAGACCCCCACACAGATGGCGGCCTTCGCAGTCCTGGCGAGGCGCCAGGGCCCGCCCAGGAGCCCTCAAGGAAGCGCTTCCACTGCGGTCACAGCAAAGAATCAGCTTCGTCTAGGGACCGCATACTGTGCTTTAATCAAGTTCTTATTCAACATATTCCCAATGATTAATGGCCCAACTGCTTCATTTTCGGTCCAGAGCTCATAAACAAGATATTTTTAGCCTGATTCTTTTGGACCGATGGAGTAAAAAGCAGATACATTCAGTAAGTAACCTGGTGCAAGCTGAGGAGTTGCTCTCTGGGCTAGATATGGGGCCCATTAGTATACCATGCATCTGTGGAGAGAGACCTGGAAGGAAATTCAAAAACACCGAGAGGGATTTTTCATTTTTTCTGCAGTGCTAAAAATAATGGTTTTTCCTGGTGTAGGAACAAAGAAAGCTCTGTTGAAGGTCCTAGCATATACAGATGCCGGGAGGAAAGGGACACCTGTCCTTATCCATGGAGTCACTGTTACCTGTGCAGGACACAAGAACTTCTCCTCTTATGAGTGGAAGAAACCGCAGCATGGGAATAAAACTTTGTCCAATAAGGGTCTGATGAGCATGTGGGGGTGAGAGAGGAAGGGAGTGGGACACCCATCCAGGCGGGGCTCCCATCCTGAAGGCCACAGGTCCTGCAGCAGAACCAGAATTCACTGCCCAGGCCTGCCCTGTGCAAGGTGCTGAGTGCCAAGATAAGACCGAGAAGTGGCTCCTGGCTCTCGAGGCTTGGGGCACAGTTGGGAAGACAGGTTATCACACAGAGTCTACTGGAAGGGAAGGGCCTCTTCACAGAGGAGGAAACCCCAAAAGAGCAGGAGATGGGACTTCATTCATTAATTCATCAAATATGTTAGGAGACACACAGGGGGATGAAGGATAAAGGCACGTCCTGTCCTGGATGAGGTAGGGCAGGGGACTCTGGAGGAGGTAGAGACCAGCTTTATCTGAGGAGGTGGTAGAGAATGAGTTGTGTTGCCCCCACCCCTCAATTCATGTGTTGAAGCCCTAACCCTCAATGCGACTGTATTTGGAGATAGAGCTTTTAGGAAGTAATTAAGTTTAAATGAGTCCATAAGGGTAGGGTCCTAATCCAATAGGATTGGTTGCTTTATGAGAGAAAGGCCATGTGCACACACAGTGAGAAGGTGGCTGTCTGCAAGTTGGGAGGAAACCTCTCACCAGAACCTGACCAGACTTCCAGCCTTCAGAACTGTGAAAAATAAATAGCTGCTGTGGAAGCCATCCAGTGAGTGGTCTCGCGTTATAGCAGCCTGAGCAGACTAGAACAGGAGTAAGAGAGGGCTTCATGCAGGAGTGGACCTTTGAGCTGTGCCTTGAAGAGTGGGCGAATTCCTTGAGGAATTTGATGGGAGGATAAGGGAGGAAGGCCTCTTCAGGAGGAGGGAACAGCGGGTGCAAAGGTGGAGAGGCTGTGAGTGCATGGCCTGTTTGGGTTACAAAGGACAAGATGTTTGACCGGCTGGAGTGTGGGCCGACCCACTAGGGAGGGGCCTAGCCAGATAAGGCTGGATCTGCAGATGGAGCTGGGGTGACGGCCAAGGCTGCCCCAAGTGAAGGAGAAATGCTTATCGCACAGGCTTTTGTCCTCCAGTTTTTAGCAGGGGAGCTTCGTTGTCCCATTTGGGTTCCTGAAAGGCTACTCTGGCAGGGGTGGAGAGGGGCTGATGACCAGATGAGAAACAAGGCAGACCTGAGGCTGCAGGGTGGGGAGAAAGGGCAGGACAGATGAAACAAAATGTCAGGACGTGGGGGCTGAAGGCCTGGCCTCTGGCTGTGGTTACCATCCCCTGACATATAAATCCTGGGTAAACGGAGGCTCCCCTACAAGTCCCTGGGAGGCCACAAGGACTTACCCACAGGACACCCGTCCTACCCGCTTTATAGTTTTGGAGGAGAGGACCTTGGAGCATCTTCCAAGATTCACCAGCCATATTCTAATTTTTCCTTTGAAGTCTAAGAGAGTACCTTGGGATGTAGAGGAAGTGGTTTAGAGGGCAAGTAGTGGGTCTCTGGGTAGTCTGGCCTGATGTGCAGAAGTGAAGGGGGGTCTAGAGGCATGAGGCACAAGTATCCTGGACCTGCCCAAGCCCTTTAGTAGGAATTGGCTGGAGAATCTGGGTGGGCCCCCAGGAGTGGCAGAGCCAGTCTCCATGGTAGGTGCACAAGGGGGAAGGGAGGCGCAGTCAGAGAGAGCTTGTGGACAGTCAGCATTTGGCTGGAGAAGTGGGAGTAAGGGGGAGAGTCCCCTGGGAGAGAGCTGGCTCTGCGGCTCATGCTCAACTGAGGCAAAGCCGGTGAGAACAGAAGCTTGTAAATCCTCTCTCTGACCACCTTTAAGATCCTTCTTCCTTTTTAATTGATGGCCACTGGCAGTTCTTGAAGAGAGATCCAAGGGAGGGCACTCAAATCTGACCTTGCCTCAGTGTGCTGAGCAGGCAGCTGGAGCATGGGGCAGCCAGCTCAGAGGGGCCAGGGAGAGAAGAGGCAGGCTGTGACTCTGTGTCTACTTTTTATGAAGGAGAACATCAGCAATAGCAGTGGAAATCTATTTAATAGGGGTGACTTTGCCCCTGGCAGTCCAGAGAGGAGGCTGTTGAGCTGGGGGAGGGCAGGGCAGGGTGTGAGCAGCCAGGTAGGCAGGGGGTGACGGGGAACCCTCCCTCAGTTGTGGTCCTGAGCTTTGGGTGCTCCAGGATGCAGCCTGGTTCCAAAGTCATTCGCAACTCTAATCATTTTGAGACAATAATCAGAGCCCTAGGAACTTTTCATTTTACTTTCGTTCAACCTTCCTAAGGCAACGCACACAAGAGAATTAGTACATAAATTTAAAAATCAATCAAATTCTGAAGAGCAAAAATGGAACCAACCCTCTGATGTAGTTTTCGAAATTTAAAGCTAAAGTGTGGATGTAAGATTGGTCACTCCAAAGCAGGACCAATTCAGAGAAGGTAAAAGGCCAGAACCACAGTTCTCAGGCACAGCTGAGCTCTGGCTAGGGGGCATGAGTAGCTAATACAGTATATCTAATACTGTTTGAATAAGTCAATAAAATACTCTCAAAGAGTATTTTGTCCTAAAACTTAGATACAAAAACAAAACAAAATAAAAACACTAGTTACTTTTTATTGCAAATGCATTCATGAATGCGTTTGATACTAATTCTTCGTTTTATGCTTTAGGCATTGACTGGTAAAGCATAGGAAACTGATGGACATAAAAGTCCAGTGTTTCTAATCACCAGACTCTCACCTCTTGGTGAAGCCATTCTTATCATGCATTAGGTTATACCTCCTTCACCAGGAGGCCCAGTGGTCTTGGGGGACTCCCCAGACCCAGTAAAACACCCACCTCATCATTTATTAGCTGGTTGACGTTGGGCGAGTTACTGAATTTCTTTGAGCCTCTGTTTTCTCTTCTGTAGACTGGGGACACCAATTCGCCGTAGGGCTGCTGGAAGGATTAGGGAGAGTATATGTGCCGAGGCCCGTTTCTGGCATGCTGTAAATGCTTGCTTGATAAATAAGAGCTCACTATATTATTCCCTACTCTCCTTCCCTCTCCAGAAGCAC